TGAAATTTAACGAAACTCGAGCGGAAGCCGGCCACGTACTAGGAAGCGCGCCTCTGCATTTTAGATCGCCGCTAACCGCGTATTCCACGGTCGCCTGCTGCCCGCCGGTTGCATTTCTATAATGGCGCAACCCTATCGCTATTTCTGTCGTCTATTTCCGTGTGTCGCTGAAATACACCGTAAAACTTCCACTCGAGTTTTATCGGGACCGTGGGTGAATTGCTCGAACGCCGTTATGGTTGTTAACTGTTTTACATCGCGTGCATTGTCTGTCCGAGGTCGGCTAATTTCTTGTCGCGCCGGGAGAAAGTATTTAATCGTTTTAAAGAAACTGCTAGCGTAAATAATATTCGCCGTGGTATGCAAATTGGCTGATATATACGGGGCGTCCCGTGCAATTGGGTCAGGCTATAGCCTTAGAATGGTAAAAGGTGGATACAGATTTTATTAGGAACATACGAATGGATTTTAATAGTGCATCGGCCGATGTAAGTACTTATTCTGGACGCGTAGTGATTTCGAGTTCAAGGTCACTATCTTTTTTGTTTTTGCTTTTTGTGTAGGTACTTTCTTTTGCTAGATTATTTTATGTGGGAAAGGATTAAGGTACCTCCCCGCACCGAGGAGATATTATAGTTATGCACACTGAAAAACTAAAATGCAATGAAAAATCAAATTTTTCATCTTACCGATGTATAATCACAGACACAGACACAACTAGGTTACCGATTAAATGGATTATTTAGTTTTTAATTGGTATAACAGTTACTTATTAAGCCATTACAAATTTTTGTTTCATTTTTAAATTCCACTTTAATAATTGATCAAAACGGTGAATTCGATGAGGATAGTTTCATTTTTATTTTTGACTTTTAATTTTATTCGTACCCCTGACGTTACGTAAGTTTTTATTTCGACTGGGAATCAACGTTTAATAAACTAATTAATAATTAAGATTTGCAGTGAACGAATCGACGATCGGCAGTTAACAATAAGAACCACCGAGTGAAGGTTAATTTCGGTAATCGATTGTACCAATCGCGGTAGGCTCGGAATTCGCATTTTTTAAACTACATACAAGCATTAATGGACCAATGAAATTAAACATTCCGTTTGATTGATGTCCGACGCAGTTAATAGTAAGACTTATCATTATCCATCGATATAAATTTACTTGGGAGAGGTCATGAATGAACCGTTCGGCCCTTCTAACATCAATTTGCGGCCGCGTTTCGGTTCGTCTCGGCTCGAGTTCGATCTCTTATTTATTTTCCGCCGCGGAATCATTACCTTTCATCTTGGATCATCTGTTACGGAACACCATGCACAATTATCTCGATTTTGCGTTCCAGACTCGTCGGCTCGCGATCTCCTCTGCATCGAGAATTTCATTACGGTTGCAGGAGTGCAAGGGCTACCGTTACGAGCCCGCCGTGAAAGTGCACCAACGAAAGTGCGAATACCAATGCGGTTTTTACGCAAACGCGCATTCACGCACGCGCACAGACGCGCGCGAACACATGCGTGCACTGTACGAATTGTTTGCACTGTATTATGCGTGCCGGATCTAGAATTCACCGTTAACGTAGATCGTTTCCTTGAGACAACGGCCGCAAAGTGCGAGCCATGAAACGCAATCTAGCTACTTTGCGTTTTCCATACACGAGTCGCACGCGCAGGAAATAGGCTGCGGTTTAGACGGTCTTTAACGTTTCGAAAAAATCCGTAGGAAGCCTTCAAATATACACGAAAAATCTCGGGATTATCAGGAAACGAGAATCCGTACTATTGCTTTTTTCCTTATACCCGAACGATTGTGGGTTTCTATACCAGATAAGACTTGTTCGTCGTCTATTTTTAGTAATTCAATCTGATTTCTAAATAATGACGATGTTTCTTACTTCGAAAGATGAGATACTACTGGTAACTATTAAGCTCTTTTGCGGTTTAATGGCTACTCGATCCGTTTTTTGCGCGATCCAGCTAACCAGACCTTGCTAGATTTCAGGAAACAATGTTCGAAATGTTAGCTTCGTTTTTAGCTTGTTCAAATGCAATTTTGTTATTTTATTTTGAGCAGTTATTTTGAAAATGAGTATCTCGCGCACAAACGATGAAATAATGACGCAATCTTCTGACAATTCATCTCGTTCGCCTGTATCGTTTTCAGATTATTTCATTGGCTAGACAATTTGTAGCTGCAGCATAGTATGAGAACATGGTTTTTTCCCTTTAATTTATATTAACGTGATCATAGAGTTAAATATATCTCCGGAGATGGAAGAGATATGGTACAGTTATTAAAAAGTCACAAGAAACGATTCTATAAAAATAATTCCACATTCAGCTTGTAAAAGGAAATTAACATTCTCTTGTCGTCATGATCGTCCCATAATACGAAAAGTCTTTCCGTACTATAACAATTACCTTCTTCGTTATATTAAGAGGTCTTGAACAAAAATCTCTTATCAACAAACTTGACAGAAAAAGGTTTTTTCTTCAAACAAATGTGATTTCTTAAAGTGAAATCTTTCAATTGTTTCATTTTAATTACACGTTTTGTAAGTTTCGAAATAAGCAAACAACGAAATCATTTGCCATTCGAAATTTATATTACTCCCATAAAATCAACATTCCCTGTAACCGATCATTTTCTGAAACATTGTTTCAATCTTAAACATAATCTTCGGCAGTCTTAGTTCACAGACTCGAGTTCTTTTTCAAACATTCGAAGAGTTATCAGTCGACAATCTATCCATTCAAGACCACTCTCGCTCGATTGTATTACAAAACAACAATATGAAAAATTCAATATCTCCTCGGCGATCCGCGTTACGTTTAATCAGTACCGCGAATCGTTCGAACTTTGTGGAAACATTGTCTGGAACGCGCGGCGTCGGAGCTTTTAATACTCGGGCCGGTTACTTAGCCGGGTGATAAAGTCATTCCCAGCGACTCGTAATTAAAGTATCAGCCGGGCAGAAAAGCATAGAGTATTTCCGCAAATTACACGGTGTATTAATAACAACAGATCAAATAGAGGCGGGCCGGAGGCGGGGGCTGAGAGAAAAGCACGACCGATCAGATAACATGGAAATTTTCTCGCAAACGGTCCGATAACAATCTTATCTAATGTGTATAGAGGAACGTTAATTAATGGACAAAATGTTTCGCGGCTGATTGGCCTGCAGGTATTATATCTATACATAGATACGTACGTGTGCGCAGTAGACGCGCGCGTAAGTACTACACGCGTGTTCGAGAAACGGGAGAAGTGTTCTCGCGCGCTGGGTGCGGTGGCTAGAAATTGTGCATCTCGGTGCCCGGCTCTATTTCCATGGCTATTAACGTTAATCGATTATAGCGTGACGGATCGAATGATTTAAATAAAGACCGGGTGCGTCACAGGCCCGGCCCGGTACATTCGACCGCGCCCAACAAAATGATCCTATTGCGTTTGCTCATTATTATGTCCCACCCGTTACGTATTTTTTCTGGCCCCTTTTTGTTTCATAGTGACTCGATCGGTGATCGGTGATAGATGGACGAACGATTCTGTCGACGACTTCGCGATTGCAACGTTTTTTGCGATTTTCGATCGTATTATATTAATGGGACTGCAGTGTTTTATGCGTTTATGGAAGATTTGAAAGAGCAAATTGCATACGAAGCGCAAGATACGTAAAAAGCATGTAAAATAGTCAAGACGTAGTGTGGTTTTTATCATGTTGGGAACAATTTTCTATCGTAATTTGATTTTTTGAATCGTGTTCTTCACAATTTGAGTTCCCGTGAAGATTGGCGGTTTAATGATAATAGACGATCGGAATTATACTTAGATGGAAGACTTTTACTTGTATACGTTGTTGTTTGTTTTTATTTACTGAACGATGTAGAGTTTGCGTAGAAAATGACGATACAGGAGTAATTGAGTAAGATTATGTTTGCTCGTGTTATATTTGCAGTATAATTACAGAGTTAAGTAGGATAGATTAATATACAATGTCCTTATTGGACAGATTGTAAAAGTTTATTAGGTTTGTAATTTATTAGACGGATTGCAGTGGAAAATTTGGCGCGTAATTATACCAGGAATCACGAAGAAAGATTGCAAGCAGGAAACGTACATACCTATTAAAGAAAATTTACTACTACTTTCGGGATCGTTGTTTAGTTGTTCATATGGAATGAACACGGTAGTTCTAATTCGTTATATAGTTCGCACAATATTATTATGCTATAAATATTGTATAAAACAACTTGACTCAGATATGTCCATTATCTTACTTCGAAATATACTTCTGGAATGAAAATCAAGAGGTGATACTAACATAAAAATTTAATTTGATACGTTCTATTTGAAAATTCCAAAAAATCCTATTTGAGTTAATAATAAGAAATTGTAAAAGTTATCGACTTTGAATACAAATTAAATTTCTACATTTCTAAATAAAATATTTGAAATACAAATTAACTCTTTGTCTTATAACAATAAGTAAAGATACCTATTTTCGTATTGTATCTTCATCTCTACAATTTATTACGTTGACGCAACGATTTAACAAAATCTCTCCGGATTTCCATGTTTCCAACACTTTTTCGTGATTCCATGCTTTATAAACAAATAGTGTATGGAAATTTATTCATTTACACGGACGCAAATATTTTGGTCGTTGATATCAAGATTCCTAGTTAAATTCTGTCATCCGACGTTTCCTTGTAACGTTATCTTCCTAACGCCGTGTTATTACAAGTTCAGCGATATTCACACTTGATCGGAATCTTAATTAAATGAAGTATTAATTAAACGCGCGCGGTGGAACATCAGGCCCCGAGTTTTTCCGCTGACCGAGGTTCTCGTTTTTACCGGTTTCCGGCCGAGAACTTTGATTCAGTCGGGAGGAAAAACTGGCGTGATCAAACTCGCCGTTACCGGTTAAGTTTTCCGCAAACGTGCCCGACTAATTTCTAATGCTGATACGCGCGTTTGTATGTTCCAGGTGACGTACGCCGAACGGGCCAGTATTCATGCCAGTATGCCAATCAGATGCCAGTAGAGAGCCAGTATCTGTATCTGTCGCTACCTACCGATATAGCCAATTGATAAGTTAGATAGTTAAACATTAAATAGGCACTGTAACGCCAGTTTCTGAATAAATCGTCCGCCGGGACGACGTTTGCTCGCCGCCGGGCACCTCCTTCCGCGAACGTCTTAGAGAAGTAATCGAAGAAGCAACAAAGGGACACGTCTCATCGTTTCGTAATTGTTTCCGTTATCTTTCCCCGCGATCACGATTTGTTGCTCGTTCGTCCGGTTTTCCCCGAATTATTTCGCCGTCTCGTTTCTTTCATTTTTTTCTCATTTCGAACCGGTGACCACGCGTTTCGAAAGAAACACGCGCGCGCAACGCCACGTATCACCAACGAATCCCGACAGCGCGATCGGCTCGTGATCACCGTAGCGAACTGACCGATCGATTTCTCGGCTGTGAAGTGAATTAATATACACCAGGAAAAAGGATCGAAACGGAGAAAGGAAGTGAACAGCGTAACACAGGCGAACACGGTGGCTGGAAACGCTGACTTACTTCGAGAGCGCCAACCTGCAATCAAGGTTCATGGTTTTCATGGTGAGTCATCGCGTCTATTTCTGCTAATTCGTGCACGGTTTGTCACTTATTGCCCATTATTTTCGACGAGTTTCTAGGAATATCGTGTTCCTGGCTCGCGGAAGAGGCGTTTGATCTTTTGTCTTTCACGTTCTCTCTCGTTTTTAGCCTTTTTTGAGAGTCTAATAATCTAGACGCATTTTACTGAAGTAATTTTTGAAATCTTTCTTGAGGAATCGAATAGAAGTTTCTAGTTGAGCTTTTTTATACGATTCTGTGCATCTTTGAGTTTGAACAAATATGGTCTGAATGTTTTATTCTTCGTTGGCAGTTATAGTAGGATTTCTCCTTTGATTGGAAAGTAATAAATCGAGGACTCGATTAGCACTAGAATTATTTTTACAGAATCAGTTTGTTCAAATTACAAGCAATTGGAAAGAAATAACATAAGTTTTATTACTATGTTTATTAATTTTAGATAGGTAATGAATTTCTAAAAAAGAAAATGTATAATTAGATTGAAAAGTGTTTTGGGATAGACGCGTAGTTAAAGTTTTGTGAATGACTTTACACTGAATATAATTAATATAGGTATTTATATCGCTCATTCTTTTTCGCTATGTTACGATCATAAAGAGGATCTTATTATTTATTAAACAGATCGCGGAGTCCTCTTTTTTTCTCTCTGACAAATTTTTGCGGATTTGCTTTGTCAAGCTGTCGGTGCTGATTGTTGTTGCAATCTGTTTCAATCTTTATTCCCATTACTCGTATTACTCTCATTACGGAAATCAATTCTTAACAAATATATTGCACTATCAATTACACTAGATGGATATCAATGAACGTAAGATTTTACCATTATTTCTTGCGAATACCGCGTTTATAAAAAACTAATTTAATGATTTCTATTACTTTCTTAAATTGAGAAATATTCAGTTACCAATTCGAATGTACAAGCACTGAGTTGTCGCATAGAAAATGCTCAAAGTGCAGTTATAAATTTTAAAGGATAATTAATAAAAGAACGATTATCGATTTACAACATCCGACCCCATGACATTTCGTGTCCACATGTCATTAACATTAATGCCGAGTTGTTGCAATTTCCATAACTCTTAAAACGTTACAAATTATACAAAATCGTGTCGAGGATACGTTCTCGGGAATTCAAGTGTGTACAGATATCGGAGGAATGTAAGAAAAAAAAGGAAGATATCGATTTTTCTCCCGGGCTCTCTAGAACGGAAGAGCCCCTTAACGAGGAGTCCGCGGTGGGAAAGAAATTAGTCCCGAGCAACTCGGAAAGAGATTTCACGAGATTTTTACAGTTGATTTCTCCTCGTTCCTCGCCTTTTACATTTCACCTTGTCGGCAGGTCAATTATGAATTGGCGGGCGAACCCGTTACGGGCACAGCGGATTTTATGCAAAGTTCCTTCCATCACTGGATGCGCCTCCGCAACTTCCACGAAATATAGCACGTGTCACGTGCAATTTGCATAATGCGACATCGACACTTCGCCGATGCGCACCGGAACGTTATCTTTATGCGCCGCCGTATCGTTTCATATCGCGGATCATTGGATTATCGAAGGCGGCTCAGCTTAAACGGAACACTCGATAATGGCGAATTCGGAGAACTGAAACTGTCTCGTAAATATCGATAAACAAGGACTACCGAAAGTATCGCGAACTTCCGCCTCGTCACACGATTCATTCCCCGTAACTCGGCTCGCGGTTATATTCTCCGGCCGTCGCCGTAACCGTTTCCAGATCAAACGGCCGCGCCGAAATCCGTGGCTCATGTAAACGTTGGAACGTAGTCGGAGTTTCCTGTCCGTCGTTTCGCCGAATATTTCTCGTTTCGAGAAATGTATTTCATATTCGCGAAATGCGTTTCACAGGTTGTTTTATATTCTTCGCTCGTCTCTACGGGCTACCATCTTGAGTTATGGAGGTCGACCGAAATCACCAACTTTATTGGGAATTGTTAAATAAATTAATATCACGGTAATATCAGATTATTCGATATTTACTGTGTACCGCTTGGTATTTAACACGTTCCGTGCTGCGTGGGGCGTATACGACCCACGTTGAATTTTCTGTTCAGACCGAAAATGAATTCTCATTGAAAAACGAAGAACTTTTTAAAAAATTTATTTTAGAGTCAAAGATAGGTATTTTAATATTATGTATACTGTGGTTATTTAATTTTAATCGATTGTAAAAATGTGGGTCGTATAAGCCCCATACGACCTGAAGGGAAAGTCTTAAAAAAATGGTCCGGCACGGAACGTGTTAATATTGAGTAGCTTAAACTGTACTTAACATTTTGGAATGAAGCGATGAGTGTTTTCAACTAAATAGGGATGGAATAAAAATTTTTCAAAAATAACGAATACTTATTACTGAATAAACTATCATTCTCGAAATTGATATCTAATGTATAGCAAACACAGTAACTTAATAAAGTACGTAGTAACTTAGTAAACGAAGAATATCGTTACAAACCCGTGCCAATTTTTAATCAGTTCCTAGATGCTCTTCATTATCAACGTAAAGAAAAAATGTTACTCTCTCGAATGAAAATAAAAATTCCTTGATGAAGTGAAATTGGTATCATAATTGTCAAAAAAAAAGAAAAGAAAAGGGAAAAGGTGAAAGAAGGAACCGAGGCCCGAGACGTCCCATCATCATACATTATCCTCGAAGTCTTGAAAATTAGCCAGCAATCAGTTACGCGAATATTACACGAGGACCCGGATCGATAACCTTAAAGAAAGCCGCTCTCCGGATCAATTCACCGAATCGTCGATAAATATCACCGAATAACGGATAAATATCACTGAATCGAAAGACATGTTTGCGCTTTAACGCGGGAGGCGACGTGCTCGCAGCTTGAAAATGACCAAACACCGGCGACGCGCGGAACGGAAGCCACCATCGCGCCCCGCAGATGTGTTGCACACTGAAATTCCTTTCCCATAAATTCAATCAGATCCATGACAACATGCAATTAAATAAACATCGCGCGCAACAAACTTGTTTACTTTCCACCGAAAAAGATTCACCTGTAGGAGGTCGCGAGGTAGGTGGAAGTTAGCGAGAATTCGCGTCGTAACTCTCAGCCGTGATATACAGGGTGTCCCAGGTTTTATCGACTAAATATTATCAGTATATTTTATGATCTTAATATTTTATCTACCGCGAGCCTAACAACCGATTTTTAGATTCCGAATACTTAACAACTGACAACCTATTAAAATTACGCTGTTCTAAAACAAAAAAAATCAAAACAACATAATGAGATTCCATCAGACTTTGATTTTAAAGTTATGGAGTTTTACAAATAGAAACATACCTTTCAACGTGATAGGGAAACTATATAGGTAATGTAGGAATATTTGTACTGATCATAGGCGGTAGATAAAGTGTGAATAAAAAAAGAATGTTGCATAAACTAATAGATTTGAAACCGAATCCTGATTTGTTACAATAGGCGATGGCGGAATCAGACTTCTTTAGCGTTGTTCCCAACTATAGTTTTCAAGACGATACTTTGGTTCTGAAGGTGTTAGTGTATTTCCTAAGGTAACATATTATTAGATACTGTATTCTCAAAGGTGATATTGAGGTTTTTATGGCGATACTCTAGATCAGACCTGTCCAACAGGCCTTTTCGCGAGCAATGGCAGCTTCTGTTACCCACGGGCAGAGCTTTGGGCAGAGCTTTGGGCAGAGCTTTGGGCAAAGCCATGGGCAACGTTCCCAAAATGGGGGAAATACACTTGTATTCAGGTTCGCGTGTTAGAGCCTTAAGACAAGCGATTACTACTGCGTACTTACTTGCAAAGTGGTATAGTGCTGCTCCAACGAGCTGGCAGATTACCACCAAGCTGAAAAGTAAGAGGGGCAGGGGGATTCTTCCATTCGTGATCTTCATGTCGTCTCAGTCTTTGACGCATGATCGTTATTGACGCGTAGCAATAACAAAGGACAGAAACGAGATTGAGTGCAACGAAGTGGAATTTAACGATAGAGATCAAAATTCATAGTGCCGGCAACTTGGGTCTCTATTGTTACATCTCACTCCGTCGCACTCAGTTTCGCTTCTGTCCTTTGTTACTGCCACGCGGCCAATAACGATCATGCGCCCTGTGGCTTTTCAACTTGTGGGTAGTCTGCCAACTCGTCGGAGCTGCACTATGGAGAAAACAGGCACCTTTGCGGCATTACGGGTTGCTCGTACGGGCAAGCGGCTGGACAGGGCTGCTCTAGATTCTGAGATGATACTATAGCTTCTAAGATAATACTGCCATTTTTAAGACGATGCTATAGTTTGTAAGATTTTTTTCAATTCCCAAGACAACATTGTAATTTCCAAAGCGATCGGCAGATCTATTTTCAGAAACCACAATTTCTATCTGTTCCAAATGCTTTAAAACTATACCAAATATTCTAACAAAAATATAAGATACGAGGGAACCCAAATTTACGGCTATCAGGATATAACGTAGGAAAAGGTGACCAATACTTATCTTTAATCTATGAACCAACAGAAAACAAAAGAAATTGAAATTCGTAGGACAATAAATTCTACTTTCGGTTGCTGCCAATCTTACATTGTCAGAAGCGGTGAACACTTTGACATAGAAAGTTAGTTATCTTCGCGTAAACAGAGCAAACGTAAATCTCATTGAACTGTTGTATTACATTCTGTGCGCACCTAACCGTTGATTTACGTGAAAATCCGTTCCACGTGGATTTGTTTCACGTGAATGTAAATCGTGTAAAGAAAGTCTGCCAGTACAAAAGAAAAACTGTTGAAAATAAAAGCTAGTATTATATATATATAAGTTTTAGAAATACATATTTATTTCATATAGCTTGACAAAGAGAGTAATGAAAAATTCAAAGTGCACAGGGATAAGGGGAATCGGCCGCACGCTCCACCTCGGTCCTTCCTAGAAACAGTAGCCAAGCCTTCGTGTTCGCGGGATTCGGTAAACAAAAATTTGC